AAAAAAAAAAAAAAGACAAAGAAGAAAAAAGCACTAGGAAGGGACTAGGCTATTCCATTCGTTTCAGGAACACCCAGGAAGATCTCAACCGAACATCTCATTAAGGCAAACAGTCCTTGGGCCAGTTCTAGTTTCCTAAGGTTTGCTAATATCAACACTCCCTTCTACCTAGGTAGGCAGCAGGTAACCCCCACTAAAAAGGCACAGGGTCAGCTCAGAACCATCCAGTGAAATAATTGGGCTTCACCTCTCCTAAAAAAGGAAACCCAGTCACTCTCCAAAGCCACATGGCAAGAACTTGACTATTTTGTTAAATTAACCTTCCAAATTATTTTTATAGAATAGCCCTGGGGCTTGGTGACCAGAGTCAGGTTTTTTCCCAGTTTTGTCACCAACTGGCTACATGGCCTCAGAGACATTCCTTTCCATCTGTGCCTCAACTTTACTTTCATAAAGACCATGGCCTGCTGGCCTCTCCCACAAGTTTGTCAGAAGAAAAGATCCAACTATCTGTGTTAAAGTGCCTCCCTGCCCATGCACAGTAATTCCTATCCCTGTGTTGATGTACCTGTCACTTGGCATTTTGAATAGTCAAATAGTCATCATACTGTTTTTCAAAAGAAATCTTTTGGTAGCCAAAACTACAAATTCAATAAGTTAATGATATACTTGCAAACTCTGAGTCCAGCAATTCATCTCAAAGATGAGAGCACCATCCTGATCCTGCCTTTCTTAACATCCGATTTTGCTCGTATCATCCACATACTGAGAATCTTCTGTGTGCCTGGCCTTGTGCAGAATGCATTATATCATTCAATCTAGGCCCGGCACGGTGGCTAACACCTGTAATCCTAGTACTCTGGGAGGCTAAGGTGGGTGCATTACCTGAGCTTACAGGTTCAAGACTGAGCAAGAGCAAGACCCCGTCTCTACTAAAATAGAAAAATTGAGGCAAGATCACTTAAGCACAAGAGTCGGAGGTTGCTGTGAGCTATAACACCACAGCCCTTTACCCAGGGCGACAACTCTGTGAGACCGTGCTCCTATTGTACAGACGAGGAGACAAGAGAGGTTAAGGAATGTGTCCTAGGTCACACAGCTTAGTATTAAGCAGTAAAGGTTCCAACTTGTCTTTAAAGTCCCTGTGTCTCCACTATCATACACTACCCAAGAACTTTAAAGCAATTATCTACATTTCCTTCATGGTATTTTAGAATCTAGACCTTAAAGTTAGACCAGTTCCTCTTTTTATTGTTCTTAGAAATGCTTGACGAAGACACATCCACACAGAACTGTACACCCTACACCCCAAATTATGTCTCTAACATCACAATGTGGGATAAAGAAAACTTACCTATTAAGTCTGGTTCCTTGAGGGACGTGAGAGCCCTGTCACACCATCCCACATTTTAAAATTGTTTTGCTGTCCATGATTCTTGAGGCTCCCATGGTTGGTTTGAGAATGTTTAGAGCATTTTCATTCTGGATTACCTAAGTGTATACCAATTTCACACTGATGACACATGAAAGACATGAAGGACAGTCTCCTCTGGAGGATCACTGAAAGTCTTCAAGAATCAGGTCCTATAAACAGGGTGAGGCATTTATCCCCAGAGCCTACAGAGTAGCCAGGCCTGGGGCAGGTAGAGTCCCTGGGCTAGGCCTGGAGCTGGCATCCATCCACCTAGTGTGCTATACATGCACTTTTGTTTCCTGTGTGTACCAGGATGGGATATTGTGGAACCACTGCTCTAAAGAATAAAAAATGCTGATGGCTAACTAGCCAGCACAGGAGAGGTGGGAGAAAGGCTAAAAATATGCCCTCTGGAGACAAACTGCCATTTATTAGCCATATGACTCTGGGCAAGTGACTTCTCTGCACCTCCATTTACTTCTCTAGAAAATAGTCACAAGAGAATCCACCCCATAGGAGCTGTCCAGAGGACTAAATGAAATGATGCCAAATGTCATCTACCATAATTGCCACTAACCCCTAAAGGGTAACTTTGAATCCAATAGACTTTTAGATCTTCTCTTTCAAATTCATTTTCCAAATGAGGAAACTGGCCCACAGAGGTCAGATGACTTGCCCAAGGCTAAACAGCTCTGCTAACCAACAGGACAAATAGCTTTTGCTTCTCTGCTGCCAAGCTCCACATCTAGGATGTTTGGTCTGGGCTCCTGTTTTCAGGACTGCTGTTGACTCTGGGCTGACAAGGTCCTTTCTGCTGGTTCCATCATCATGTCTGTAAGAGACCTTCACAGCTCACTTCCTGGGAGCTCACGCCCTCCTTCCAGACCCAGAGAATGCAACTCAACATGCTCTAGAAGCCTTTGAGTCATCTCTGTCTGTGAATCAACCTCTATCCATCTATTCTGAACAGAGAGATCTCATCCTCCTCCAGTTTCTAGAACTGGATCCTCCTGGTGTTTTTCCTATGGATTTTGCTTAATGAGCACCTCCAAGTGTATCAGGTTTCCCTCCCAGTTGCAGACCAGGGACTGAAAGCCAGAAGTGGATAGAAGCATCTAATCCAAGACCCTGAAGGAAACACTGAACACACTGAAGACTGCCTCGGAGCTAAGCAAGGTGTCCAAGCCCATGGCCACTCACAACAGAAACTTCTGTATCTCACCCTGGCTGACTGGCAGAGGTGAATACAAACATAGACAGCTTGCTGGACACATGCCCTAGGCATCAGAGAGGACACTGGAGACCGTATGAATTCCACAGGCAAAGGACAGTTGCCATGACTACCAAAAGCTGCAACCTATGCTTAGGCTGCTTAGACTATGGGGACAGACTCTGCTAACCTCTCAAGGACCCTTCCAGCTTTGAGATTCTACAATTACCTCCAGCCAGCTGACACCATGTCTGCTGTAAGAAAATAGGAAGTCCTGTGACATAAAAGTCTCAGGGATAGAAAGCAAAGATTTCAGTAGAAGTGCCTCAGAGGTCACCTTGTCTTATTTATCACAGTGTTGCTTTGCAAACCTACTTTGTACCTCAGCTGCATTATTAATAACCAGTCTTGCTGTCTGGGGTATAGCATTTTATACTTTTTACAAAGTGAGTTTGCTTCCACTTTCTCTTTTACAGCTCCAGCTAGTAAATTTGATCAAGATTTGTTCTGTAGTGTGACCCCCTCCCCCCAAAAATTTGCGTCACTAGGTCCAGTAGGGTGTGCTCGATCAGACAGGACATATGTGTCACAAGTCCTTCTAAGAATCGGAAGGAAGTCATTCATAAAGGAGGCAAATGCTGAGCTGCAACTTGGTTTCCTCTTACAAGTCTGCCTACTCTGGCTGGCCAGCTTCTTCAAGGACCTTCAGTTAATGCGGTGCTTTCCTACTCCACAGAGGGGCTGGATTTCTCTTTACAACTTGATGACCAGATGCTCCCTACCTTTCCAACTCAGAACAGAGCAGGGAAGTGGCTAACTGGAGCCTTGCATTCTCTACACTGGGGAAACCACAGGCCTGGCTACACTCCTCTCAAGACCCAACCTGAGAACAGAGACGTTTGTAGGAATATATAAGTCTTATTTATGAAAAGAGGAGATGCCCAGAAATTATAGAACTGCCCATACTTACAAAAACAGTTGCAAACCTTTCCTTATTCCTGATGCAGGAAGCTTCACATTTAATGATGTTTGAGATTTTTAAAAATCTACTTATATCAAGATTAAATCAGAGCCTTTATTAAACATTCCTCCTTCAAACAGCCTACATGTAAACCTACACCCCTCCCCAGACCTATGAACTGTGAGAGCTGTGTATCATTTTCAACTGACAGGGGTCAGATCCAATCAGGCCTTACACTGTTGAAAAACCAAGCCAAGACACACCACACTGGGCAGATATCCACCATTCTGTGCCCCACTCAGGATCTAGGCAAAAGGTTGGTAGTGCCGACTCTAGAACCAGAGCTTCAAGCACAGAAGAGGAACCCGAGGTCTGACACTGATTGTTCCAGACCCAGCCATGCTAAGCTGGATGAGCAGCTCCTGGACTGCCTTCCGCTGAGGCTACGTGTGTGCTTTTCCTTCTCTTCTCCAAAGAAAAGGGTGGGAGATGGAGGAGACGATTTTCAGTTGTGTGTGGGTTTGATTTAAGGCTTTGGCTGTGGTCTGTGATATATTAAAATACTTTCTGGGAACGCCATCTCCTAAGCTCCCCATTGGAACAAACGTATTTTCAAAAATGAAAACAATGAACAAAGATGTGGAGCGGCAAATGCTGCTGTGGAGTCCAGGCCTCTCATGTCAGGATGGTGTCATCCACCTGCTCCGTGGAGTCGATCTGGCTGGCCAGCTTCTTCAAGGACCTTCGGTTAACCTCGTTCAATACTTCCAAACTGGCCACATCCAGGATCTTGGAGAGCGACTGTGAGGAAGTGTCAATGTGAGGAGTCACAGTTAGAAAATATAGTTCTAGACTGGGCACGGTGGCTCATGCCTATAATCCTATCAGTCTGGGAGGCCAAGATGGGAAGATCCCTTGAGCTTAAGAGTTCATGATTAGCTGAGCAAGAGGGAGATCTCATCTCTAAAAAGAGCTGGGTGTTGTGGTAGGTGCCTATAGTCCCAGCTACTTGGGAGGCTGAGGCAGGAGGATTGCTTGAACCCAAGAGTTTGAGGTGCTGTGAGCTAGGCTGATGCCATGGCACTTTAGCCCAGGGCAATAGAGAGACTCTTGTCTCCCCCAAAAAGAATCTATGGCCTCAAATTTCTCCAATCAAATAGAAACAAAATGAACACCTATTTTACAACTAGAGAGACTCAGAAGGGTCCAAGAGACAGCTCAGAAAAATACTTCTCATGTAGCTGCAGTTTCCAGTACTTTAAATGAAGGCTGCTGGGACTAGGGGACTGATGATCAGGGCTCTGGGATTCAACTGGGCAGCTCCACTGGGATCTGCTGTGTGTTTGGGTGCTGTGCAAGATGTGATTTGCTGAACCATGGGAAATGTATGTTTTCAGGAACTAGGCCAGTCACCTGAATCTCAGTCTGCTCATGAAAGCTAACGTGCTCCTAATGGCAGAGGAGAGTATGAGGCTTAAATATAGTCATGTAAAAGTAGAGCTATAAAACAAATGCCCACAGTATACCCTGGGGGTGTTCCAGCCAGCCCCAGGTTCCCACCTGAAACACCTCTTCGCCCTGCCTCATCTTGAGGAGATTGACAATCGCCTGGTCACTGTAGGCCCTGACAACAGTGTTTTTATCCTTGGTGTTGTCAAGAAGAGCCTTCAGGATGGGCTTGATGGCTTGAGGCTCTAGAGGAGGCATTGGGTCCTTATTTGCCCACCAGATCATCTTCTCAGCCACCAGCCTGATGTCACTGGATGGGTTCTGCAGACACTGTAAAAAGGACCACAAATAGACTGGATATGCCTGTCTAAAAGCCTATTTCTCAAAAAGGCCGAAATCCTAGCCCTGATGCGGTGCTAGTGTATCTCAGCTGTGGCTCCCCCACCCCCCACCATCTTGTGCCACTCTCCCCTTGCTCACTGGTCTCAGCCCACACAGGTTTTTACTTCCTCAAACATGCAAAGTTCCTTCCAGCCTGGGCCTCAACACTGGCTGATCCCACACCCTAGACATGCTTGTCCTCAGATTCTCACTCAGCTGGTTCCTTCTCATCCTTCACAGGACCCCTGACAACCTCATCTACATTAGGGCCCTCCCCATGGGATCTAGGGATCTTGTTTGCCCTAAGGACCCAGCCTAGCTGGGTACACAGTGGGTGCTCAGTAAATGCTAAATGAACAAGTAAGCACAGGCTGATGCCATCACATACTGGCCCAATCTAATCGGGCCACCTCAAACTCTCAGTGGGCTCTGGGTGGCTGCAAAATGCAGTCACCCTTTAGAACCTCATTACTCAAAGGTCCACACACAAAGAGCACTTAACCTGGGAGCTGGTTACAGAGTCGCAGGTATGGCCCCATCTCATTAAATCATAGAATCTGGTCCTGATTTCTGTGCACACTGAACTGTGAGGAGCTTTCTGTATTAGAGGCCATGGGAGCCTTGCTCGGCTTTCCTAATTAAGGCCTGATGCTCCAACACAATAACCACACTAATAAAGCTAGGCCAATGAAAGGAGGGAGGTAGGAAGAAATGTATTAAGATTAAAACCCAGGTATGATCCTAATTTTACAAAACTAAGGTGTCTAGAAAGAAAGCCCATGCCTATAATACCAGCACTTTGGGAAGCCAAGGCAAAAGGATCACCTTGAGGCCAGTAGTTTGAAATTGCAGTGAGCTATGATGTCACCTAGGTGACAAAGCAAGAGCTTATCTCAAAAAAAAAAAAAAAAAGGCTAAAATAGTGGTTCTTAATTTGGTTTGTAATGACAGGTCAATTTGACAATCTGACAAAAGGCTGGACATTCTTTCAGAGAAAAATGTATACAGACATGCATACAGACATCCTCCTGTCTCTAAGAGCTCAGAGATCTCCTAAAGGCCACCCACGGAGAACTAGCACCCAACTAGCTGAGGGCACATTTCCAATGTTCTGTGGTCCTAGGGCCAGGGCCTAGGCCTGGGCCTTCTCATACTCCAGCCTCAGGGGGTTACACACAGTCCCTGCTCCTCTACTCACCTTAATGAGCAGGCTGGAGAGTCTGGCTGGCAGCTGTCCCCCTCCTGTCTCAATATGGTATCTCATCAAGAAGCCCATGCCCCGGATCCCGCTCACTGCAATGGGGATCTGTGGAGAACAGACAGAGCTAGACAGGATCGCATCCTGCTCCTTTCTCAAGCAGCAGAGCCACGAAAATCCCATTCCCAGGAGTTTCTGGGACCCTCCACCACCTTTCTCCTCTTTTATTGCTCCCTGACAGCTCTTATTCAGACAAGCTGTCCTGTGAGGAAATTGGCTGGGAGAATACTTTATGAGAAGGACCCCCCAGGCAATTGAAGCAACACCAAAAATACATTACTGGGATCTGATCAAACTAAAAAGCTTCTGCACAGCCAAGAACACAGTAAGTAAAGCAGACAGCCCTCAGAACGGGAGAGGATATTTGCAGGTTATGCTTCTGACAAAGGTTTGATAACCAGCATCCACAGTGAACTCAAACTTACTAATAAGAACAAGTAATCCCCTTTCATTGTGGGCAAGGGACTTGAACAGAAGCTTCTCTGAAGATGATAGGCGCATGGCCTATAGACACATGAAAAAATGCTCATCATCTTTAATCATCAGAGAAATGCAAATCAAAACCACTTTGAGATATCATCTAACTCCCATAAGAGTGGCTCACATAACAAAATCCCAAAACTACAGATGTTGGCGTGGATATGGAGGAAAGGGAACACTTCTGTACTGCTGGTGGGAGTGCAAGCTAATATGTCCCTTTTGGAAAGAAATATGGAGAATACTCAGGGATCTAAAAGTAGACCTGCCATTTGATCCTGCAATTCCTCTACTAGGTGTATATCCAAAAGACCAAAAATCACTTTATAAAAAGATATTTGCACTAGACTGTCCATTGCAGCTCAATTCATAATAGCCAAGTCATGGAAGAAGCCCAAGTGCCCACTGACCCATGAATGTATTAATAAATTGTGGTATATATATACCACGAACTATTATGCAGCCTTAAAAACAGATGGGAACTTTACCTCTTTTACGTTTACATGCATGGAGCTGGAACATACCCTACTTAGTAAAGTATCTCAAGAATGGAAGAAAAAATATCCAATGTACTCAGTACTATTATGAAACCAATTTACAATCACATTTTCATATGAAGAATAGATCACAACTATGGCCCAAGATGAAAGAGGAAGGAGGGGGGATGGGAGGGGAGGGGGTAGTTCAGATCAAGGGAAGATGAATCGTGGGATCACACCTATGGTGCATAATGCAAGGGTTCATGCTGAATCTATTAGTATAGAGTATAAATGTTTTAACACAGTAACTAAGTAAACGAGATGAGGTATATATTACAGTGTGATGTAAGCATTCCTAATTCTATATGAAATCAGCACATTGTAACACATAAATGCATTAATGTATACATGATCTATGTGTTTATGATTTAATAAAGAAAAAAAAAAAGGCAGACAAGCTAACCTGGCTGACAGGCAGAAGTACAAAGTCACTGCTTTCCAGAAGCAGGGATCAGAGACCTGCTGACCTAGAAGGGACACTAGATTCTCCCACCCCAAGACCGTATTTAGATAAAACTGGGGCCCAAAGGAATCAAGTACTGGTTCAAGGGCACAGCAAGTTACTGACAAAGGTAAAATTAGAACCCAGCCCTCTTCACACCGAGTCTCATCTACCTGCCCAAAGCCTTACCCTGTCTGCTGTGGTATTGCTGAGGATCATTTCCTGAACTTCACTGCTGTATTTGCCAGCACAGAGTCTCCTGGGAGCCACATTCACAGCCACGGAGAGTGCCAGGCTCCGCCCATGCCGGACCATCCAGTCAATGCCAGACACATCCGCTGGGTAGAAGGACACAATGGGGGTCAACCTGTACTTTACAATATGTTCCCACTACCCATGACTTTACTGGGTCTATCCCCCTCTGAGACCAGTGTGCGGATTCAAGAACATGGTGGAAACCCAGACCACACTGCCTGTTACCTTGGAGAAGCTCTCCAAGCAGCATATAAAAAAGATACCTCTAACGAACCACTTCAGGCTTACAGCTATAGTTTTAGAGCGGAGATAGGACTATTGGGACCCCTGGAAATTTGATTTTCTTTTTGTTTGTTTGTTTGATTTTAGAGACAGAGTCTCACTTTGTCGCCCTTTGTAGAGTGCTATGGCGTCACAGCTCACAGCAACCTCTAGCTCTTGGGCTTAGGAGATTCTTTTCCCTCAGCCTCCCCAGTAGCTGGGACTACAGGCACCCACCACAACACCCAGCTAAAAACGTGACTGTTTTAACAGCTGGATTTCCCAAGACCAGTTGTTAAAAGGACCTCTGAGCAAGAGAGAGAGGTGCCCACGGACTCTCCCCCTAGGTCTGAGAGATCTAAATCCCTAAAGGGGAAATTCTCAATGTACAAGAAGCCTACCGAGCAAGCACTGCTGAAGGACGGTGTTAAGCTCCTCTTCAGTCAAAAAGGCACACAATTCCCCCAGGCACCCAGCTGAGGAGATGCGGGTGTTGTCCTGATAGAGCAGAGAAGGAAGTGAGGGGGTGCAGGTGACAGTACCAGCTCCACCAGAACCAGCAGGCAACTCTGGAGCCCAGATGCAGGGCAGCGGGCGGTGGAACAAATTAATTTAAGGACTCAAGAAATCCGTCCTTCCTTTGGCACTTGTGCTCTCAGTGCCAGACTGGGACTGCCATTCACTGAAACTGCCACTTGGTGTGGAGTAAAACATTACACACTCAGCATTTCACTTAATTATAGAAAAGTCCAGTGAACATGCATGTGGTAATCATCCTCACAATAACAATAATAACTATATTTACACAGCACCTTTTTTCT